GACTAATAGTTTCGAACGTGGACAATCAGCCTGGATAGGTTACGATGAGAAACTTGTTTTGCTGCCCACTGTTCTTTTCTGGCCTTTCGAGTGAGGTAGGATTTGGCATGTGGATGATGATGTAATATGTTACTCAGCCAGGCAAGTTGTCACAGGCTCATAGGTTTGGTTTTGAAAAATGAAAAGCGGATACGTGAGAAAGTGGTCCATGTGGGAATAAGAATTACAATAAAAGTAGAAAACGCTGTCTGGCGCTGGTGTGTGTTTCTCTGAGTGCTGAGGTTCTCTGCCGCGGAGATTCATCACTGAAGTGCTGGCCAGTACTGGGGAGGCGGCGCACCTCTCCTGGGACTCATCAGCTGAATAGAATGATTAAGCAGCTGAATAGAATGATTCGTGACGTGCTGGTGTTGTGGAGGCAGAAGCTTGGTCTCGATTTCCATTAAATAAGTGTGTGGAATCAATACCTAACTGAATGTTTGTCATGGGAACACCCTGAGGCCCCTGTGTAGCTGGTATTTTTCAGACTAATTCTCAGACAGGAAAATGTGCAGCATGTCTCTTTTCTGAAATAGTTTCAACAACTTTTATGTAATGCTGATGCATCTGGAAGTGAAAATGCTAAGAGTTTCATTTCACTAAAAATGGATTTAATTTTTACTTTAACCTTTAACTTTAGATCATAATTAGTAGCATTTTCACCTTCGTCTTAAGAGCATCAAAGTGTATATATTCATTGACACATTGAACCAGTATTTAGTGAGAATGTTTATGTGCAAAGAACTGTGTAGGTTGTTATAAAAAAAATGCAGAGACCTGGTCAGTACTCTAAGGAGCTCAGAGTCTAGAGAGGGAAACAGATCATTGCACAGCAGGACAAAGACAATGTATGTGGGAGCGTATCACAGAGGAAATGACATCTGAGCATTTGAGCTGAATCTTAAAGGAAGAATTTCAGCTATAGGAATCAGCACAAATAAAGAGGAATTTTGCCTTATATTCTTAAGGGTTCACCAGATTTTTTTTCCTACAAGCATATGATGAGATTAATAGTAAATTCAGACCAAAATTATCTAAATAAATTAAGACTTTTTGGGCTAAATTTGTTCTACCTTTGCATCTTAATTACATTGTAGAGAACAATATATTTGCAATAAACTGGTCAATGGGTGTGGCCAATCAATAGAATTGTAATTCAGTTTAAAAGTAGTGTAACATTCTAGTGGTAAAACAATTAGAAGTTAAGAACTTGGCATTTTTATAATATTTTCCTTCTGTAGCTCTAATACTTCTCAGAAAATGGTTAAGCTCCAATTAGAAATCTGACTTGCTTTGGGTTTTATCACTTATCAGAGAGGTAAAGATGAATTATTAATAGAAATCTCAAATACAGTAATGATAGTACCTTATATTTCAGTAGCACACAGTATATGAAATACTTTTGTAGTCATTATTTAAATTTGGCCAGTATATTAAAAAAGGGCATCATACGACTGATAAGTTTCTTGGTAGAATAAATTACTACCAGTTCATTCTGCTCAACTGTGCACTGGTAGCATTTGTAAACAATTCATTCTGACATTATTTAAAAAAAAATATTGTTGCAGAATTGTCTTGCCTCTTTTCCCCTCTTTGCATAAGTCTGTTACATTAAATTTCAACAAATCTAAATCACCATAGCACTTAATAGATAATGTGTTTGCTCTTAATTCATACACTTTCTGGCATATTAATTAGGCTAAAACATAATATTTATTTATAGAAGTTATATTACTCTGTCCAGTAATTAATAGAAATGAATATGTATATCTTGTTTTATTAGCAAAAGAAATAATTTGCAATAAGCATTCCTAATCTTTAAGCTAAATATTTATGGCATTTGAATGATAATATTTGGTGTTTCTGTCATTTAGATTTTATAGATAATTTCTGAACAGCAATACATCTTCTGTGTTGATGCTTTGTGCCTTTATACATATACTAGAGGCCCGAAGCACGAAATTCTTGCAAGAGTAGGCCTTTGCAGCCACGGGCGGCTGCCTGGATCCCTCCCTTGCAGCCATGGCAGCTGCAGCCCCGGCTTAGTCCAGAAGGACATCCTGAAGGACTTCTGGTCTAATTAGCATATTACGCTTTTATTATTATAGATTGTAGTGAGTAAGACTCACCTTTATCCTTGGTCTGCTGAGTGTCTCTTCAGCCATTTTATGGCTTTACAGAGACGCTAATGCTAATTAATGTTTTACTAGTAGGAAGAGTCATTTTCAAATAAAACTGTTAAATTTGAAGCGTGAATTATAAATTCAACATGGTTGTCCTAATAGTAATATTGACAATGATGGTTATACAGTTACTATTTCTAGGTGCTTCTAGTGTGCTGGGCTCTGTGCTAAACATTTTACTGGTATATTATTTAATTTTCCCAACTACTCTGTGAGGTAGGTGTTATCCCCATTTTACAGATTAATTTATAACTGTTATGCCTTGTACCATTTAATAATAGTTAAATATACTACATATATTAAAATATTTAAATAGTCAACTGTGGAGCTTTGCACATATGAAATGTATACTTTCATTCAACAAATATTTATTTGTTGACTATTTATGTTCAAGGCTGATGTGCTAACTCTGAGGATAGTGTAATGAGGTACTACCCCTCCTTTGCCTTTAAGGCAGCGGTTCTCAACCTGTGGGTCGCGACCCCTTTGGCAGTCAAATGGCCCTTTCACAGGGGTCGCCTAAGACCTTCCTGCATATCAGATATTTACATTACGATTCATAACAGTAGCAACATTACAGTTATGAAGTAGCAACAAAAATAATTTTATGGTTGGGTCACAACATGAGGAACTGTATTTAAAGGGCCAGAAGGTTGAGAACCACTGCTTTAAGGGACTTGCGATGCATTGGGAGAGATGGACTTGCTTAAAACACAAGTACAAGAAACTATGATAATTGGTTTTCTAGCAGAGAGTGTTGTAGAAGAGTGGGAAAAGAGGGCCTCAGCTTCCCAGAAGGTAGTTGAGAGGTCTTCACAGAAGAGCAGCCCTCACTGAGACTTGAAGAATGAGTCTGGGTTTGAAGAGGTGCTGTGCAGCGGGAACAGAATAGACCAGAGTGTGGAGATGCGTGGGAGCCAGGCAGGGTTGGTCAGGGAGCTACAGGGATTCCAAGGTGCTGAGGGTCAAGTGAAGCTGGAGGAGCTGCATAGCTGGATGGGGTCAGGTCCAGGAGCCTTGCATGCTGTTCAAAGGAATGCAGACCTTATCCTCTGTGTTGAAAAGCCATCAGCAGATTAATTCAACAAACACTAATTATGATAAGGGTTGTTCTTCCCTCCCTCCCTCCCTCATTTATTCACTCAGCAGATTTTTATAGAGTGCCGATAATGTGCCAAGCATTGTGTTGACTATTGAGGATAAAAGGGTAGACAAGAGCACATGTGTTCTGCCTTCGTAGAGTTTACTAATTAGTGGCGGAAACAAGCATCAATCAATGAATCTATCAAAAAATGTAAAACCTCAAAAGTGGCCAGTATAACACAGGGAAATGGTTCTATAAAAGTATGGAGAAGGTAGTGACCTGGCTAAGGAGGTCGGGAAAGGCTCCCTGAGAACAGGGCTGAGCTGAGAGCAGAAGGAGAAAATGATACAAGGTCACTTGATGAAGAAGGTGGGTTATTCAGGAAGAGGACTAGGTTATTCAGCAGTGAGGGCTAGGAGAACAAGGTGCTTTTAAAGGCTTAAAAGTAAGATAGAAAAGCTGGAGTGCAGGCTGGCAAAGAGCATGAAGGCTGAATTGCACTGGGCCTGGGGGCTAGGGTAAGAATCTGAGCTCAGTGGAAAACTATGCTAATCGAAGGGTGTGGCATGCGCAAAAGCACAGAGGCATAATCAGAACAGTGTGCACACATACCTACATTTATGCAGGTATACAGAAGGGAAATCAATATGTGACCCATTAATAACTTTGATATATGCTCATATCTATTTTGTGTTAGTGATTCTAAGATCTATATGCAGTATGAAGACTTGTAAATAGGTAAACAAGTATTTTTTTACACCATAGATATATTATAATGTATAGAAATTCCTCTCTTTATTTATGTATCTTAAATAAGGGATTTCCATATGGCTCTTGATTTTAACTGCCATTTAGGCAGGACTTGGATTTTAGTTTTTTCCTTAGTGTGTTGGCTCCCAGATTTGGGATTTGTTGGTACTTTTAATTTACTAAAATAACTATAAATCTACCCTTAATTGTAATATGAACATGTTGATTTCAGTATGACTTGGTAGTTAAAATCAAAGGATAGTCACATCCCAAAAGAGCAATGCTAAGACTTAGGGGCATATAAACTCTGGGGAAAGTACGATGGTGTTGATTTAATGTTTAAATTTTTTTTGTAATAATAAGTACAGGATTGTTGGTAGCAAGCTCAGTTTTGGAAAAATGGTACAGGACTGGAATCTGGAAGTATGAGCATGGCCTCCATGAACAATGTTGGCTCAGCAATGGGGCCTAGGAGACCAGAGTGCTTGAGCGTCAGGTGCAGCAATGACTCTGCTTTTTGTTCAATAATAGTGTGATGGAGTGGGGTGATGTGTGCAAAGGATTAATAGGAATCAGAGAGAGCATCAGATTCAGTGATGTTCCTGAAATTTTCTGGAGAATGACTCTTTTTTATTTCTCTGACGTTTGGGAATCATTAAGCAGGGAAGGAGGGAAAGGAACAGGCTTAATTTGAATCATTAAGCAGGGAAGGAGGGAAAGGAACAGGCTTAATTTGTTGGTGATGCCCCTAAAGTCAAGAGATAGGATGGGTGTGTGTGTGTGTGTGTGTGTGTGTGTGTGTGAGAGAGAGAGAGAGAGAGAGAGAGAGAGAGAGAGAGAGAGAGATTATGCACATGTGTTTCTTTTTTCTCTGACCAGTTAATGTGAATGAAGGTCACAGCAAGCTGCCTCACTCAGAGGGAATGTTGTTTTTGTACTTACAGGTCTAGGCATTTTACACTGAGTTTTCTACTGCCACACTTTCTACCCAAGCAAAATCCATGTGAAAAGATCTGCTGGGAAGGAGCCGACTGCTTATGTTTCTCCATTGTGATGAAAGCACATGGTACAGGTAAATATCTCCAAAATCTTTAACTAAAAATAATGATCATTTAATTGTAAAGTCCCCAAGATAGTGGGGGATGGAGATATATATATATATATTTTTCTCCATTCTCCTACACATACATAGACACACACACACCAACACACAACATAAACATAATCTCTAGATTCACATATTCTCTATCTCTTTTTTTTGTCTCTTTTATAAAAATGAACCCTCCTTGCTTATGGGAAAGAAAATAACTTCTGTGTATGTTGAAATCACTGATTAAGGTGGATGCCAAGACATTGATAAGAAGGGGATGATTTGGATGATGGTGTTTATAAATTCAGCTAGAGAAACTACCATCAGATGGTAGTAGGGAACATTATAATATATTCTAACACCTTTCATCTAACATTTTTATTCCTCTTAATGTAATAATGAACATATTTTCATAGCAACATATTTATCTGCAACAATATTTTTAATGATTATATAGCATACCATTGAATGCATATCCTACAATACATTTAATTGATCCTCTCTAGCTGGACATTTAATTTGCTTCTAATTTTTTTTTTTGCTCTTATGCTACCAATAATGCTCTTACAGCTTTACTAGAGGCCGGGTGCATGAATTCATGCATGGGTGGGGGTCCCTCTGGGTGGCCTGCAGGGAACAGGCCAAAACCCTCAATCCAGTGTCGCCTGCAGCTCCTACCTGCCGCTCCTGCTCATCCCGGCCCTACTGTGCCTGCTGCAGGCTCGTGCCCAATCAGTCCCGATCTGGAGAGGTTCCCGCTGCTGTAGCAGCGCTCACCAGCCATGAGCCCTGCGTCTGGTGCCCTCCCAAGGGGAGTGGCTTGCGGGATTGGGCTGAAACTGGCTCTCTGACATCCCCTGAGAGGTCCTGGATTGTGAGAGGGCACAGGCCAAGCTGAGGGAACCCCACTGGTGCATGATCAGGGCTAGGGAGGGACTGCGGGTGGGCTCCAGGGCATGTCCGTCCCATCTTGCTCAGTCCCAGTTTGGCTGGACCCCAGCAGCAAGTTAACCTACCAGTCAGAGCATCTGCCCCCTGGGGGTCAGTGCACATCATAGCAACTTGTCGACCAGTTGACTGTTTTCCCCTGGTGGTCAGTGCACGTCATAGTGAGTGGTTGAGCAGCCTTAGCATATCATTAGCATATTATGCTTTGATTGGCTGTTTTGTTGTTCTGCTGTTCAGTATATTTGCATATTACCCTTTTATTAGATAGGATATTAATTGCCAGTATTTGTAGCTTCCTTAGGATACTTCCTTAGCAGTAAATTAGCTGAATTTAAGAGTTTTTCAGTTTTAAAATGTTTGCTACTTGCTGCTAAATTCCTTTCCAATAAAGTCATATTAGTTTCTATTTCCAGGGGCAGTGTATGAGAATGCCTATGCATACAATTGTATCAGTATGGAGAATTTTGAAAACAAAAAAGTCATTGCCAATTGAATATGAGACATGGGATCCCCATGGTTTTCAGGGGAGGGCATTTATTAATAAATCATACCATTTTTAAGAACCTTCCTGCTGTAGATAGCAACATGTGTACATTACCAGTTTTTGACATTTGAGAAATATACTAAATCAAGAAGGTATGGATAGGTCCTAGGGAATTTTAAGTTTTTCTCCTTTTACAGCCAAGTATTTTTAGATGACCATGAGATTACTAGATAGCGATAATTTTTCACTGGAAAACATAGTTTTTCTTTAACAAGAATAAAAAGGTATTTAATAAACAGCCTATATTAAACATAGATCTGAAGTTGTATGCTCATTAGTTAAAATATGTGTATGTGGGTGTATATATACATACACATATGAGTATATATCTCTATGCATACATATGTGTGTACACACACATGCACACACACATACAGACACGTATCTGTCTAATGTTGGGAGCATGATTAGATATAACTGTGGCAGCACTGTATTGAGCAGAGGCTGGGAACCACAGTGGGAAGATCCAGGCTCCAGACTTTCTGGGCTCAAATTCCAGCCTAGCTGTTTTTTTGAGATGTGATGCCCAGCAAGTTAACTTTCCATCTCAATGTCTAAATTTATAAAATTTAGATAACAATAGTACTCATTTCATAGGGTGTGGCAAATATATGTGAAATATTGACAATCATTATAAATCCTATTTCGAAAGAATATCTAATGATATGAGAAAATGGTCATGACAGAAGCAAACAAACAAAAAAACAAAAACAAAGTATGACCCTGACTATAGTATAATGTCAATTAAAAAATATTTTTTAGTATCTTTCCAAATGTCTTCAATTTGGATAAACGGAGTAATCCCAGTCTTGGATACACGGCCTGCCCTAAGGCTGCAAGTCAGAGACCCAGTGCTCACAGAGGTGTCTGTCATCCGGCCAGTGGGGCCCTGGTTACAGCCCTGGTTACAGACCTTGCTCCTGAGGTGTGGCCAGCACCTGGGCTCAGGCAAGCTTTGGGCCTCTTTGAGCTATGCCTGCCGAGTTTAACTGTCCAGCTCCATATGTGAGCTGCCCTACCAAGCTCATCTTTCTTTTTTATTATTTTTTAAAATTTAAATTCTTTATTGTTTAAAGTATTACATAAGTCTCCTTTTTCCCCCATTGCCTCTCCCCGGCTGTTCCCACCCCCCAGCACATGCCCTCACCCCCCTACTGTCTGTGTCCATGGGTTATGTTTATATGCATGCATACAAGTCCTTTGGTTAATCTCTTACCCACCCCCCTTCCCTCTGAGGTTGGATGATCTGTTCGATGCTACTATGTCTCTGGATCTATTTTTGTTCATCAGTTTATGTTGCTCATTATATTCCACAAATGAGTGAGATCATGTGATATTTATCTTTTTCCGACTGGCTTATTTCACTTAGCATAATGCTCTCCAGGTTCTTCCATGCTGTTGCAAATGGTAAGAGTTCCTTCTTTTTTACAGCAGCTTAGTATTCCATTGTGTAGATGTAAAAAGGAACCCTTGTGCACTGCTCGTGGGAATGCAGACTGGTGCAGTCACTGTGAGAAACAGTGTGGAGTTTCCTCAAAAAATTAAAAATGGAACTCCCATTTGACCAAGTAATCCCACTTCTAGGAATATATCCCAAGAAATAAGAAACACCAATCAGAAAGGATATATGCACCCCTGTGTTCATAGGAGTACAATTTACAATACTAAGATTTGGAAATAGCGTAAGTGCCCATCAGCAGATGAGTGGATTAAAAAAACTGTGGTAGGCTCATTTCCCCACCCCATAACTGCATGAGCTTCCTTTCACTAAATATGTGAAAGAGAAAATAGAATGGGAGACCCCAGCTCTTAGGAAACATGCTTTATCCTACGTAAAGGGGAAAACTGGGATTGTAAGTCCCTTGACCTTTAGCTGCATCATAAGCTTGAAAAGTTGAAGGAAAAAGGGTCAAAGAATTACTTGGTGTTAAGAAGACTAACAGTAGATGAGTTGTCTGGCTTCAGCTAATGTTTTTCACTAGACACTCTGGGACTCTTGTGTGTGTCGATGCTGCATTGTTTTGGCCCACACGTTTGTTTAAACAGCTCTGTATTTTTCAGTAAAAGAGGAACATCTGAATTCCTTATTAAGACAATTTAGCTTAAGAATTCCCCTTTAATGGGTCATAAATATTCTCCTCTAAATGATTACGATGATGAGTAAGCAAATAAAACTTGTATTTGTCCAATATATATGTTGTTTCAACAAAATTAATAATTTTGTAAAGGGAGGGACAACAACAAATGTGTCAGCAAATATAGGTCAGAAAAGGAGTTCATGATGTTCTGCCAAACTCCAGCGAGGTGCCTTGTGAGTGTAGGTAGACAGGCGCAATGTTGCGGGAGTGAGAATGGCAATTGCACTACCATATGGAACATTTGGTATTTGGGAAGCACTTAGATTCCTCCTCAAATACAGAATCAGTAGGGATTCAAACAGAGAAGAAGAAATGGTTCTCTCGCTGTGAATCACTGGCTGGTGTGCAGAAATGCGGACATGTTGACTAGCAAGGACTTATCAGAATGAGGTTCTCCAGGGAGGCTGAAGAGTGGGGATATTTCAGCATAGCTCACCGGGCTGTGTCCTTGGGCCTGTGGTCCAGCAATGTTCGGTGGTCTCCATCACCAAACCACTTGTTGCAATGGTGTAGGAAATCTCTCTGCAAGATCAGGCCACATCAGTCTTGAAAACTCAATACATGGGTTCTATAGGGTCTTAAGCACAGTGTCAGTATATTGGGGAAGCATAGCTTTTGAATTGTAAGAAACTGAGACAATGTCTTTAAATTCTAATCTGATTCAGTCAGTCATCACTCATTTATTTACTAGGCAAATACCTCTATTGAGAGCTACCATGTGCTGGTGCAGTTCTAAACATCGGAGACATGCAATGGGACAAGACAGACATGAGGCCTGTCCTGATGGAGCTTGCATTTGTAAGGGAGATAGATTTGACAGCTTCATAGCCTGGTGTGGGGAACAGGGGAGCTGAACAGGACCATCCTAAAAGGAGGGGCAAGTGCATCTGAAATGAGAAGCTGGAGACACCAATGGGGAAAGACTTGTGAATCTGGAAGGCAGAAGGCAGAAAAGCCAGAGACTAGCCAGGGCCTGGCGGTGAGGTTGTGACTATCGACAGTGGAACCACGTAGGGAAATAAAGGTGAGGCAAGAAGACAACTATAAAACTTTGCTTGAATGCACAATTGTCAGGCCCAGTAAAAATTATACAGCTATTGATCTCTCAGTTTAAGTTATCTAAGCTAAGTACGGTATTGACAATTCATATTTTAAGAAATTGTGACATGAATACGTTTTACTCTATGACTACATAAACATGTTAGAGTGGGTGGCTCATGATATATGGTGCTACTTTCTTTTTCAACCCCCATCCACAGGAAGGGTTGGGGTGGTGGCTCCACCAGAGCGCATTGACCTTATTCCAACTTTGACTCACTACATCCCATTTCTTACCCGATCCACCATCGTTC